ACTATGATTGACTTTTTGACCAGATGAATCACAAAATATATGTAAGGCCTGTTGAATTATTAACACTTGCTCCTGAGAAGCTTCTGCAAACAAAAGGAGATCGTCAGCAAAAAATAAGTGGGAAATTTGTGGAGCTCCCCTTTTAATCCTCACTGGCTTCCACCTCCTGTGATCCACTGCCTGAGAAATGAGATGGGCTAGTCTTTCCATGCAGAGGACAAAAAGATAAGGAGAAAGAGGATCTCCTTGTCTTAAGCCTCTAGTTGGCCGAAATTCTTTAGTACAAGCCCCATTCCAAAGAACATTCATAGTGCAAGATGAAACACACAACATAATTAGTCTTATCAAATTTTCAGGAAGCCCTACATCATATAGGGTATCCTGAAGGAAATTCCAACTGATCCTATCGTATGATTTCTCAAGATCAACCTTGATCGCCATCCAACCTTTAGATCCTCTCTTTTTCCTCATTGAATGGATTAGCTCTTGAGCAATTATGACATTATCCGTACCTTGTCTACCTCTGATAAAACTGCACTGATTAGGCATAACCAGCTTGTCCATCTGCAATTTTAAACGGTTAGCAACAATTTTTGTTACTGTTTTATAAATAACATTACACAAGCTAATCGGACGAAAATCCTTGATCATAACTCTCCTTTCCATTTCTGGGAATTTGTTCCTAATGGGAAAATTAGGCCGGAGAGGAATATCTTCCTTATATAAATTATCATAGTATTCCACTGCCATACTCATGAGAAGAGATGGGTCAGCAATCCAATCCCCGACATCATTTTGAAGGGCATCAATCCTATTCCTCCTACGCCTGGCAACTGTTGCTGAATGGAAGAATTTAGTATTACGGTCACCAAACCGAATCCAGTCAGTTCTAGATCTTTGGTACCATGTAATCTCTTCTCTAAGATAAATAGTATTCAACTGTTGCCAGATCTCTTTCTGCAGCCTCTCCAGAGAATGACAAGGATGTTGACTTAAGCTATAATCAATTCCACGGAGGCGAGAATGAAGATTATTTTTTAACTTCTCCTCCTCCTTGTAACAATCCTTATGCCAGGATGTGGCTTTCTCTCGAAAGTTTTCACTAGATGCTTTCCAATTGTGACCACCTGCCCAGCACCTCTTCACTAGATCAGAGAAAGAATTATGAGTCAACCAAGCCGCTAGAAAACGAAAAGGACGAGCCCCTCAATTACTAAAATTTGGTTGTCCATCCCAAAGAAGGATTGGACGATGATCAGAGTTATAAAAAGGAAGGTGAGAGATAACTCTGTTCGGAAATGACATGTTCCAGCTTTGATTTACACAAGCACGATCAAGTCTCTCCAAAAGATTACCTCTTCTCCAAGTAAAACTCGGACCTTGGTGCCCCAGATCACTAAGATGACAAGACATAAGACAATCTTGAAAATCCTGCATGCTCCTCCAATTGTGAACTGAACTCCCCCTCTTCTCCTCCGAGTGAATGTAAGTATTAAAATCACCCATAATGCACCATTCATTATTATTTTGCGGCTGAATATTCTCCAAAGCATCCCATAGAGCATGACGCTCTTGACGCCGAGGACTAGCATAAACAAAGGTGAAAAATTCCTGCTTATGATAATTAAGCCAGCTTATCTTTGAATGAATAAATTGATGATCAGTATGCAGAACTTGGATATTCACTTCTGATGAATTCCAAAGAATCCATATGCCTCCTGAAAAACCAATCGGGTCAGAAATAAAAAAATTTGAGAACCCTAGGCTTTTAGCCACCTGCTTTGCACGCAGTCCACCAATACGGGTTTCCAAAAGCACTAAGATACAAATACGATATCTTCTTGTGAGGTCTTTTATTAGGGGGGGAAAGCCCTTTTTTCCAGCCCCTCTACAATTCCATGAAACAATATTCATAAAAAACAAATACAGAGAAGAAGAAAGAATGGTATGAACACCAATCATTGAGGAACAGTTTGCACACTTAAATCTCCCGAAATGGAAGCACCATCTGAATCCACCAAATTGTTGTGAGCCTGATTGCCTAACACCGATTTAACCAAAGCATCAGGGGGTTCATTAGTCTCCTTAAACTCTTCGTCCGGTATTAAGATTTTCCCATTTTGCTGGCCCCTCTCAAGAAGCTGACCATTCTCCTGTTTCCCGGAAATGGAACTAAGAGCCAGATTCGAGCTTGGAGAAGGATTCACGTTACGAGCTATATCATTGAGAAACATGTTTGTATCACCTTTAGTCAAACTCAAAAAAATTCTCTCCTTAGATTCCCTCGATAAAGATTGAGGTTTAGAGGGAAGCTTGAAAGACTTAGAAGATACTGCAAGACCCGTTTGTTTTTTCTTTAGAACAAAAGATTCCTTCACCGCCCCAGTCTTCTTCGGTATCTGTTGTTTATTTTTTCTAGAAACTTTAACGCTCCCATTCTGCAGGAGTTGATCTTCTTGGTTCTTTTTTTCCTGTGCCCCAATCGAAGGCTTAGTCGGACTATTAATTAGATCACCCATATGCTTAGCTGGCTGAGGAATATTTTGCGCTGACGTATCCATGATGGTTAACTGATTCAAATCAGGAATGTTGCTTGATTTCTGCAAATTAATTGCATTAAAATCCTGATGATTAGACATCCTTGCAATGTTATCATCTTTTGAAACTTTGTTAACGTCAGCAATGATTGCGAAACGTGAGCCAATTGGCTGGCCATAATTAGGGACCGTTTTTTTTTTTATAAAATCTCCCTCTTAACAGCACATGTATTCACTCCTCCTAAATTGGCATTAACTTGCATGACAGCACCAGATTTTTCCCCCCCATTATTGGCAATTACACCAGGTGCGGATTTTTTGCTCGGAATTGAATGCACTTCATGAGCCTTCTCCTTGATTGCAGCATCCATAGCTGAATTCACGACCTTCTTTCTTCCTCGCTGGTTACGCTGGACAAGCATCCAAGAACCAAAAGCCTCCCCTTCCATCGCCACCTTATGCTGAACTGTGGTGTTTGCCATTGTTGTATGAATCTGAGTACTTTGATTAATAGTACTAGTCGAAGCAGGAGCAAGGGTAGGACATGAATCACGGCGGTGACCATACCTACCACAAGCAAAGCAAACAAGGTGCAAACCTTCATAGCCCACTGGAAAAACACGGTTGCCTATTTTGAATTTAGACAGGAATCCTTTTCGAAGATCAACTTCCACACAAATACGAGCAAATTTTGCTCGATCTGTGAACTCCTTATCTCCTATGATATCTTTCCGAATTGAATTCCTATCAATCTTGAGTGTTCTTTCGAAAAGATTACCTATGTTACATAGGTGCTTAGACGTATAGAATTCAATTGGGAGACCTGGAATACGTAGCCATACAGCCAGCTTCTTGAAATCATCATCATGAGGGTTAAAGAAGGGACGCCAACATTGAACCATTACATAATGATCAGCTACAATCCAAGGACCCTCTTGCAAAACAAAATTGTAGTCCTCAATCTTGTCAAACCGAAATAAAAAATAATCATTCTCTATATCAATGAACTCATAAGAGCCGCTTAAATTCCACATCTTCAACAACCTATTTTGAAAAAACTTCACCCCCACACGCTTTCCTAAAAGTTTCACAATAACTGCCATCCTCCAAGGTTTGCAGCTTTCTTTGTGAATCTCCTTTTCAAAACGATATGAGGGGCAGAAGGGATCATCAACAGATTGGTTGCACTCTTCCATGAACTGGGATTCTTCATCCTCCTCAAATCCTAGGTTCTCAAGAACCTCTGTCTCCTTCTCTTCACTTGACCCTCCATTTAGATGTAACAGAGAATCTTTATAAGAAACAACACTCCTTCCTTCTTGTTCTTTAGATCTACGAATACTCCTCTCAAGAAGATCAGCCTCTTCTGTGGAGAATTCTTTGCTTTCTCCGTCCTTCATTCTTTCCTTTATATAACTTATTCAAGAATTTAACTTTGTTTCTTTTTTATTATTAATCACCATAACTTGAAAAAGAGAGAGAGAGAATGGTGGAGAAGCATATTAATTATTTGGCATGTATGAATATTTGAAGCCCCACCATTTTTTTGTTTTGAAAAAGGATATGAATCAAAGGCAACCTAGCATATAAAATCTCCTTCTAGGATGAACACTCTTTTTGTGACGTTCTCAATTTTTTTTGGAAGGGAGGAAGAGTTCGAATAATTTGTTATTAAGAATAAGGGTATAATTGAAAAATAAATACGAAAATTCTTTAAAAAAAAAAACCTTGCCCATATCTCAAAAAAAGCTCCTCTTCTGAACTTTTAGATTTTTATTTTTTTTCATTCATTACTAAGAAAAGCTACTTTTATGATAACAACTTTTATAAAAATGGGAAAAAAAAAATTGAGGAGAGCTTTCTTCTCATATTAGTAAGAGTTTGTTTTGCGTGCAATTATTTTTTTGTTTTTTTTTTTTATATGTGAGCCCCACCATAAATTTGAATGTGTAGGAAACTCCCTTCTTCTCCACTATAAAAATATATGGGATTAACATTTTGGCTCGTGTTACAAAAAACTTTTTTGTCACACTCACATAATAGGATTCACTCATTTTTATGAGTGTGGCAGGGAAAAAATATTTCTACAGTAAAAGCAACAATATTTTTTCCAAAATATATTTGACTAAGTTTAATTTCTTCTTTTAAAAAATGGAGAAGCTAAAAAACGGGTACAAAAGCCCGTTTGTTTAGGCTTATAGAAAAAGTAGCTTTTATTTCTTTTTTATTTCAGAAATGTTTTTTACAAAAGTTAAAGCTATTTATATTTTTATAAAAATAATTAATTTTTGAAAAAAAAATATTTGACTTTTGACTTTTGCTTTTTTTAGATACTAAAATTTCTAACTCCAAAAAAAGCAAATTTTTGACTTTTTTGTGACTTTTATTTTTTTTAAAAGCAGACATCCAAATAAAGTTAAAGTGAAAAGTACTTTTTTTTCTCTAAAAAAAGCAACTTTTAGAGAGAGAAAAAGTTCATTCAAACGAACCCTTAGTGATTTTCAAGTTTCATACTTACAAGTTTGTTTCGTGACACAAAATCCCTTAATCTTTGTGCTAGAATGAAAATTATTAAATTTTGTAAGTTTTAATGTTCTATAGGAAGGATTGGAAGTTGAATTCAAGTACTAACAATTATTTTGTTCCGTTAACTATGGAAATAAATAAAATAATTGTTAAGAGGGTCACCTCTGACTCTGAGTCCGAAAAGCTCAATCAAGATTAGTCTGTGTTATAGAGAAAAATAACCCAAACGTTTCTCAGAAACTCATGCTACATAGTTAAGCTTCTACAATTTTATCACCAACTCTGATATATATACGAGGGTAGGTAAAAATTATAGGGGTTAGGGTTAGAGGAAGGAAAGAGATAAATAATGGATAGAAAAATATTGTAGATTGATGTAATAAGATCCGATGATACAAAAAGACAATAACCCCTATTTATATTAATAGAGAATCATAAAATAAGGAAACAAATCATTCCCACTAATTTGGATATTGAATAATGCATGTTGAACTAGCACCTAGTTGTATATGTGAATTATTTAGCCAATGAAATATATATATCTCCACGGGTCTTGCGTATGAAATGTTTGAAACTTGACCTTAATGACTAGAACTTCAATTAATTCATATGTGCACATAGTGTTTTAAACAAGGAGGAAATGATTGTCTAAGTGTCTAACCTTGACAGAAGTTTATAATTAATTGCGTGTCTTAGTTAACAAAACCAATACAATTAATAATTGTAATTAGAATTGCATAGGATCAATTGAAGTGGCAAGGGAAGCAGGATCCTTAGGCCTTCTGTCATTGCTTGCTCCCTCCTTAAATTGGTGATCGTTATTTCTTGCATTTGCTCTATTTCCTATTTACTTAATTTTGTTTGCTTAGTTTTAATTCAAATCCAATTCAATTGCTTGAATAAGGTTTTAGGTAGATTTAGTTGGTACTCTTCACAATTCTAAATCAATTCTTATGGAGACAATAATCTTCCACTCACTTTTTAACTCTATATTACTTATTAAGGTGTGCACTTGCGTTGTCGCAACTTGATAATAAAACGAAGGGAGGATACTAGGGAGTGTGGAGGGCAACTAGTTTATGTGTATACGTTGAGGCAATGAAGAAACACTTTACATTAGAACTTCTAAAACAAAATTTGGCAAACATTCAACCCTCCAATGGGTATGTTTTGGAGACTTCAACCAGATCCTTTTTTTCCTAGGTAGATGACTTTCATGAGGGATTATATCATTGTGATCATGTACATAAATTGGTTTTCACGACGATCATTCTACTCGGTTTAACTGCCGAAATTATAATTTCTCCTTACTCCGCATATGTTGCTACCTTATGTTGGTGACACTAGCTCTCTGAATGGTACTTTCCTTTGTCTTATGCCAAAAATCAAAATCACTCGAATACAATGGAATTTAGACCTATGTCACTATGCAATGATCATATTTGTTAGAAACATTTTAACTGTACAATTGTTTATATTCATTGAATCAGGTAAATATGGTAAATGGGTATCGTATTAATGTATTTTGCCTTTTAGTATCTCTATGCTTCTGTTATCTCTCCCTCAACATGATATCTTCGCAAAAAGCTTATTAATATCGGGTCTATTGTGTATTGTGCTACGCATAATAAAAACTTCTGCATTAATCTTAGCCATCTAATTGATCCATCAATCCACCTAAAGCGCAGCTTTACCTACATAGTGTAATACATTTTTTGTTAGGAAGGAACACATTTTCCTTGTTCACTCCGAAATCATCTTGCAAGCTGTGCCACTTGGTTCGATAAATAATGGAATCTGCGTACTAGTTGAAGAGTGAAAGTTTCCTGGTCGAGGATAAAGCCACCATCTGACAAAATGTCTCCCCCTTATGATTGTAAAGACCCATGATGATACAAAAGCAAGACGATAATGTTTAATGTATATCAACAAACTCTTAGAAAGTTGTTTGTTATCAATGAAACACGCAATGCACAAGAAACGGGTATGATCATTCCGGTAGAAAATACTGTTCAACATTCTTAGAAGACAGTAATTGAACCTTTTTCTATACTATATATTTGATTTTGTGATATAGAATGCATCCACCTAGATACATCAAACACCAATTTTATAGAACATGAGAAAATCATCACTGATAAGCATTGCTACACAGGAATGCCTTCCAACAACCTTGAACTATGAGGAGGGGATGGAACTGTTCTACAAATTATTGTCTTCCCAGCTAGGCATTTCCATGACCTCGGATATCCCAGCAAACACTAAGGCAAGATCAGCAGCCTAACCCTCCATAATGATGGGTTCTCACAATATCGAACATGCACAACAATGTTTTCTGGGCACCTCATCAATTTTTTTCTCTGTTCAGACCGAAAAAAGAAAATTTTAACATTCAATCACAATACTTGGTCCAGTTTGCTTTCGATCATTACCTAGTACCCACATATAACCGTTCTTTGAGACATTTCAGTGCTAAAAAATTGGTGATCAACAAGGAGCTTTATGAAAACGTTTCTAAGATGTCATTGCAGTCAAGTAGCATACGTAAGGATGGTTTCTAATGTGATTCAATTTATATATTTCTACACTAACGTTCCATACTTGTAATAAACATCACAAAAGATTGATTATAATAACAAATTTTTTTGAAGTATTCCAAGATACACAATATATAATTATATTAAAAGCAACTATGATAATGAATTAGGCCAAGATGCATATTTAAACCAAATATACCCAGATCACACAAACAATCTCGCCCTTTCAAGAATTGCAGTGGATCGTTGGAGTGTTGTTTTATGTTTCAGGGTGGTGATGGTGGTGGTGAGGGCTGGTGCAGGAACTGATTGGTACACAGAATCCAAGAATTTAAAATGATAAAGAACATGGCCCTAAAAAGTATAATCAAATAGCAGAAAAAAACATATGTAATCACTGACACTGAAAGTACCAAACTCGAACTTATTTAATGAGCTGTTATTTGGTAGTTGAACTATTTGATCAAGTTGATTTAACCGAATAGCACCATAGGAGTATAAATGCATTACCTTTAAAAGCAAACTAATCAATTATTAAAACGGTATGAAAGAATCACACAAAATACTTTGGAACGAAATCTACCTGTTTTTGCTTTAGCCTGAGATGGCTGTACCACAACATGCATGGTGATAATCCCTTTAGGAAGCTCACCAAAAGGCACTCTACACTGGCCAACTGTCTTGTTGTTCTCCAAAATTTTGCCAGCATTTATCAGTTTTATATCATTTGCTGCCTTTGGTATAATTTTCTTATCTATGAACAACCAGAATAAAAGATCCAATTTTTATAAAAGGTTAGAAAAACAAAACAGTGAAAAGCAATTTAAGGGAGAAGAAGATAACACCAAAGCAACAGGAAATAAAGGAAAAATCACAAAATAAGTCAAGTACATAATAAATCGTCCATAATGCAAGAGTCATATAACCTAACCAATAGCAACACTCAGGCAGCATTCTATCAAATACATAACTGGTTGCTAAAGGGTAAATCATATAATAAAAGGATACACACAATTATTACTTCATATATATATTGCGTATTTGTGTGACTGAATGAGCTTAATAACTAAAATCGCTGTCCAGTTAGGTCATTGCCAGAATCAGAATATCATGATACAGATGTCCTAATTAAAAAAGGTGTAACAAGGGAAGAAATCCAAAAAATTAAATAAAAATACAGACAGCCAGTGAGTTGAAATAAAAATATAAATATTTAGCCTTTTTAACTCTGATGCAGCAACCACTACAAATCAAAAATCTAATGTTACCTCGATTCCAACAAAAAGTTTAAGCTATGAGTTATCTGGTTCCAGGTTCCCATCCAAGTTCCAACCACTCTTATACTGACAGTACACACCCATGCAACCAGAAAGCCTGCTTAGGTGACAACATAAGGGCTTAATGTTGTCTGTCAGTAAAGGGCAAGTTTATACCAACATGCTGCTCAGAATATAATGCCAATTGAACAACCATATGGATTAAACAATTTGACATTAGAACACATCTATGTCACTGATGTCATGGCCAATCTTCAGAGCATTAATCTCCTCAAACCAATCACGCCTTCCAATTCAGCACACTATTCATAATAAATCATATAAGATATCAACCAAACCAAACTGTCCATCTTACTTTAAGTGAGCTCAAAACTTAATCTCCTTTCATCTTGCCAATGTCTCCTATTTTATGGGAGAAGAAAACAGAGAGGGAGGGAACTGGGGATAAACTGGTAGAGTCCTCAGTATGCTTCCATAATAAATCAAGATAAAAGAGCAACAATATTTCATTATGCTTTAGTCTTTTCTCTCCCTTTTTTCTCCCCTCCCACCACCCATGATATGCATCTGATTTCTCTCTCTACCTGATTAAAACGAATATATATGTGAGTGCAAAAGTATTTATTCTAGAGAAAAAGCATATAGACACATGAGTGATTGTTGTGGAAGGCTCTAAAGGATAAATGAGTCCATATCACATATATCCAAACTATAAATGGTATGTATGATGGGGCAGCGATTAGTGTGCAAACTCATGGGGGTGTAATAGCAGATTATCCAATAGAAATATGTTTGGTGTTTGCACCAAGGGTAAAAGATAACAACCTTGAGATGCACCACCCCAAAAGCTAGCTCAAAGGGCGGGAGTGCTCAAGGCCTTATAAATCTCACATTAGTGGCCCATACAACCAATGTGGGACTCCAAGTCCCATACTTTGTAAATGGGTCATAACATTCCACCACGCTTTGCAGCCCAAGCCCAAGATTCCATGTCTAAGGGTCCAACCCCTGGGTTCCAGTTCCAAGTTCCAATCTGTGAAACATAGTGGGTGCTATAATACCATTTGATAAGAACCTTGGGATACACCACCTCAAAAGCTAACTTAAAGGGTGAGAGTGCCCAATGCCTTATAAACCCCACATTAGTTGCCCACACAACTAATGTGGGACTCCAAGTCCCATACCTTGCAAATGGATCCTAACAGTAAACTTTGAGTCCATAGCAATTTAGATTGGTATAAGACGAACTTATTGGGAAAATCCAAAAGCCAATGCTTCAATGCATGCTTTTAGTGGATGATATAGTCCTAGTCAACAAGGCAACAGATGGAGTAAATTTTAAACTTGAGTTGTGGAGAGAGGCTTTGGAAACAAAGATTTTTCAACTAAGAGTAAGTTGGAGCATGAGCTGTAAACCATTTAAGGTTAGCAAAGAGCCAATAAAAAATTTAAGAGCCATAAACCATTTAAAGAGCAACGAATGCCAAGTCTAGGAACCTGCAAAGAAATGGCAAAAAATAAAAGACAAAAAGACAAATGACTAACATAAAAGGGAAAAAAGTTGGCTGTGTTGCATGTAAAATAGAGGAAGCCATTCAAAGAAGAGGAAAAGGGGGACTGATAAGAACTTGGAATGCACCATCCCAAAAGCTAGTTCAAAGGGTGGGATTGCTCAAGGCCTTATAAACCCCACATTAGTTGCCCATACAACCAATATGGGATTCCAAGTCCTATACCTTGCAAATGGGTCCTAACAAGGACGTTGGACCGGGTTTGACTGGATAGGAGGTGGTTTGACTGGAAAAAGGGTGGGCATGGCCGGAAATTGCACGGGCTGCAGTATTTGGCTGGAAGGTGGGCTACAGAACAGAGACGTGCCAACTGGGAATACCAGCTGCTCCTCCCACAATTCAGGTTGCAATGCTACGATTTGGCAGCCATTATTGCTCTGACACTGAAACGTAACACAGCTGGCTTCTGGTAGTGGCAGAGGCCCGCACAGTTGACATGATTGTAAATAATGTCAAGAATGAAGATAAAACATTAGTAGGCTTTATTCAAATTATCAAAGCAACTGTTTTTTCTTACAAAAGTCAATATAATTCACCAGGATATAGCCATATAAGAATAATATCAAAAGCACAAATCCAAAATAGGCTACCGTACATTGGTAACGTCCTTCTTTATTTGTTCTAAGCATGACTATGCATAATGGCAGCTCTGTGAAGGAACAACATAAAGAAATACAAGGTTTGTCTATTAGAAATATTTAGTGGCAACAAATAAATCTCAGCTATGAGGTAATGGGCTCTTATACTATACTACACCAAAACCAGTTAAATACGATACCTCATCATCATCAACATCAACAACACCTTTATCCCAAATTAATTGAGGTCGGTGATAGATGAACCCAAATGAAAGAAACAAAAAGGTTGAAAAAAAGAAACATAAAAGTAAAAATAAAAATAAATAAATAGAATAGTAATAATATTTATATATATATATATATATATATATATATAAATAAAAGTAAAAAAGAAAGGGAAAAGAAGAAGAGGGGGAAATGAAGGGGAAAAAGACTAAAAAGGGACCATCTGGAACATAGGAATAACAACGGGTCTAACCCTCCACCATGCTTATAGCTTTTCTCCATTCCGTTCTAAGGCATACCGTCCGCCAATCTATATCTCACTCCATTAAATCTTGTTTTACTACCTTCCCCCAAATAAGTTTCGGTCTACCTCTACCTCTTATTGTGTGGAGCTCTTGGTAACAAACTTCTGTTCTTAAGGGAGCATCCAGGGGCCTTCTCATTACGTGTCCAAACCACCTCAATCTATGTTCTCTCATCTTCTCAGCCACCAGTAGTACTCCTGCCTTTCGTCGAATATCTTTATTTCTTATCTTATCCATCCTCGTATAACCACACATCCAACTTAGCATCCTCATCTCTGCTACTCTCATTTTATGCTCATGTTGCCTATGTGCTGGCCAGCATTCAGCTCCATATAGCATTGCAGGTCTTACTGTAGTTTTATAGAATTTTCCTTTTAACTTAAGGGAGATTTTGCGATCACACAAAAACCCAGATGCACTGCGCCATTTCATCCACCCTGCTCTGATTCTATGATTTACATCCTCATCAATCTCTCCACTTTTTTGCAAAATGGAGCCCAGGTATTTAAAAGCGTCTTTCTTGGGTACCTCTTGACCACTTAGATGCACGGGATCTTGGTCTACATCTCTTACCAGAGAGAAAACTCACACTTCAGATACTCAGTCTTGCTTCAACTTAATGTGAATCCTTTAGATTCCAATGTGCTTCTCCACAATTCAAGTTTTCTATTAACACGATCCTTGCTCTCATCAATAAGCACAATATCGTTTGCAAAAAGCATACACCATGGCACTTCCTCTTGAATATCTTTTGTTAGTTCATCCATAACTAAGGCAAAGAGATAAAGACTTAGAGCCGACCCTTGGTGTACACCTACCGTGATAGGGAAATAACTTGATGTTCCGTTACAAGCTTTCACACATGCAGTAGCCCCATCATACATATCCTTGATTGCCTTTACATACTTTGATGGTACCTTTTTCTTCTCCAGAACCCACCATAAAACTTTCCTTGGAACCCTATCGTATGCTTTCTCAAAGTCTATGAACACCATATGTAATACTACTCAAAGAATTACAAACAGGGGAAAGCAAGAAGGTAAAAACAGAGTCTCAGTGATCACTAAACCTATTGCCCAACCTAACCAGTTAATTACACAGCAAAATGTAGTGCAGACACACTTTCTGCCTGTATTAACAAACCAACAGAATTCCAGATGATATCCTAAAACCTCAATTTGTGGTGTAGAGGTAAAATTATGATAATAAGTACACATGGACATATGACTATCAATTGCTTTGGTTTATTGTTTGCACATCAAATGCCCACAACTCACATGCCTACATATGAGGGTTGCAAAAAATCACCGTTGAATCTTTTCTGGATAAAACATATGAAGTTCTTTTCCAAACTAATAAATATTAATGGTCTTCCTAGAAAAAAGAAATTCAAAAACTAAAAAAGGCAGAGCTTTCTTTCTCTTTCAGGACGAGAAGTAAATATCGTAACCAAATCTACTCGAGAATTCATCAGACATCACATTCATTAAATTTTCAAATCAGCAAAAATAAAGTATCTACTGGCGTACCTTATTTAGGTTCATTTGAAGCAAAAAATAATATTTATTTTTTTGCTCAAAGCAAGTTTATCCAACTTCAAATGTAGCACGCGTAAAGAACTTAAAAAACAAATAAATTAATCTACCACTTACCCCATTTGATAATAAAGAACGCACACTTTCCTCAAAAAACGGAATCGCGCAACACCTCCAACATCTTTACAAAAAAAATATTCTTAAAAAAAAAAAAAAAAAAACATGAAATAAAATGTTTGAACAACAACTAAGAACAGCTGGAAGCTCACGAGCAACACAAAAACTATAATCAGGATTGAACCACACAAAAACCAAACAAACATGAAAACTAAACGAAAAATCGAAACAAAACAAAAAAAAGCATGAAGGAAGAGTTGAAAAAAGAAAAGAAAATCAAAGTAATTATTAACCTTTTGGCCACTCCGCAAGAATCCTGTCCTTGAGCATGGATACAGTGGAAGTTGGGGAGTAACGAAATGGCCCAATATCGGATCCATCGTAGAGACGGAACTTGAGCTCCACTTGTTCTTCCTCCGGCATCTCTCAAATTCCAAAAACCCTTTCAGTAATAATTCAATACTACCGTACCCACTCGCTGTTTCACTCAGCAATTCAAAACGGTTTCAAACAAGTCAGCAGCACCCACAACACGAAAAGCTTCCCTCACGCTTCATTTTCCTCACCAATTAGACCACAAAACTCAGCAACCAAACATACTAATTGATTGTCAAAGGAAATAATAATAATAATAATAATAGAGAGAGGGGGGGGGGGGGGAATGAGGGCAAGAATATGAAGCTGTATTTTGTGTGTGGTTTATGTGAGAGATACGTCAGAGATTCGAAGAAGAAGAAGAACAAAATTTAAAATTGCTAACACTCCACGGAGAAACCCTACCCCCGACCTTCACGCTCTCTCTATTTTTTTTTCTATTTTTTTAATTAAATTTTTGTTGGGTTTAGATTTAAATGCAGGAAAAAAATGTCTCATTTTAAATGACACACTTTATATCTTTTCTCAATTTTATAAAGAAGTGTGATCCACACGTTTAAAATTTTTTCCACACATTTTTTTTCTTATGATTTATGTCTTTCTCTCTAATAACACAATTTTATATATTCAAAAAGTGTATTAGCGTCAATTACTTTTCCAGCTATCCGCTATACATTGTGGAAGCTCAAATTTATTAATTGATCGAATCACGCTTTATTATTAGTAGTAGAGATACGCTATTATTATCAATGCTATTAAAACCTCGATAATGACCCGATCGAGGTATTAGGCAAGTGGATCATTGATTTAATTGCATAGCTCGATAATTATATATAATTTTATAATTTATATTAAAAAATTATAAACATACTCAAATATCTAAAAAAATGATAAAAATTTCATATATTTTAATATAAAAAATAATAAAGTACATATTATTATTCAATAAAGAATCAAACAAAAATATAATGATCGTGATACGAGGCTTTAGGTTCAGAAAATAACATCTGGATGCAGCTCAGTTGGTAACTTGGCGCTGAGTTAGTGGGGTTGGATATGTGTTCGATTCCCGCTGAATGCATTCTTGGGGAGGGGGCTGAACCTTTAGCCATCACTGTTCCCCCGCACTCCGGATTAGTCTCATAGCCGGCTCAAAGAGTCGAAGCTCGTGGGGATACCGGAGGGAGCCAACTCGTCTCAAAGAGATAATTAGGGTTGGGTAACTCAAAAAAAAAAAAAAAATAACATCTCTCTAACTATAGATCAAGTCAAAATTTTCTGCATAGTACATAATTGAGATAATATTAGTGTTATAGGTACATAACTTATGTAAGTCAATAAGCAAAAAAATATTCAAATATGTCAATAATGATTTATTTTTTTTGGGCAGGGCCAGGTCACCAGTTAACCGACCGAGTCACCGGTTAATTGACTGGGTCACCAGTTTTCATGAAAACGACAGGGTCAGACCGGGTTGCAACGGTTTTGATGCATGGTCGGTCCGTTGCTTCAACCGGACTGGTTATATGACTGATTTACCGATTCCTGGATCGGTCCGATTTTATTAACATTGATTCTTATTGTTATGAGATGTTATACCTACTTTTTCATGTCTAGCTTATCTATCATTTTTTACTGCTGATTAGATTAGAATCTCAATTAATGTTTATTTTTATTTTTTTTAATTCTGATCTAACAGTATTAAAGAGTAATAGATAAGATAGGCATAAAAATAAAAAATAAAGAGTAGAGTACTTTTTGGATTTTCAATAAATATCACGGACCCAGTTTAATTACTTAAAAATATCAACTCGTGATCCCTCTAAATTCAATATAGAGTACAGACCAATGTTAGTCTTTTTGAGGAACTAATATGGATCTTCTTTGAATTTCAGAAGAACCATAATTTTAATTAATTGGATCTATTTTAAATTTCAAAAAAATTATAAATCTATTTTTTTCTAAAGAATTAAAATCGATCTTACAATTTTTTATTAAGAATCCAAAATATACTTTACTAAAATCGAATAGAATGACCTATAACTATTGTATTATTGTTGTTATTATATGTTATTATATGTGGTTTTTGTGATGTGGGGAAGGGGGCGGCAATTTTCTTGGTCTTAGATTTTTAAGATTTGACCATTAATTATTATTTTTCTTCATTTTGAGAAAAAAGAAAAGTGAGATATGGGTGTAGTCGTTGTCAGTAAACGGAGTGGTAGGAAGTAGGTACCTTACTTTCACCAAGCAACAAACAAGTACAGGATCTTTTGTTCTGTGTCGAGAACAACGCCAACGCAAACACCTAAGCCAATGAAACCAGCTCTTTGAACGTAGATGGGCGTGGATGTTTGAGTTGTCTCGAAATGATTGGGTGGTGTAAAATGAGGGGCAAGAGTCGAGTGCAGGTAACGATGGATGTGTTGACATTTGACCAAAAAAGTGAAAGAAATGAAAGTTATAAAACGCGTGGTGAGTGGTGAGTGGTGAGTGGTGAGAGAGAGAAAGAAAGAAATAATGAGGTGCAATGTACACGATGCGGAAAGTTGTGATGGGCAAGGAATGTTAGCCACATGTCTACCTGATAAAATTACTCTTATAATAAAGAAAATAATAAGATTAAAATATTAAAAATATATTACCTCATTTTTTGACAGCTGATGATTATTCAAAAAATTAACAATTTAAATATACATATATAGAGTAAATATTTAAATTAGTATTTAAAAAATATATAAGATAACAAGTTTTCTATTGAAGATTTTTAATACTAATGTAGTCTTTCAGTATATATAATAATTATTAATCGAAACATAAATTTTGTTCCAAAATTAAAACTTATTTTTTTTATCGTGAAGTCTAAATCACTATTACGAGTCCAACTCAATGTTAATAAATTCGGACCGGCTCGACCCGGAACCGATAAACGGATCATATAATCAGTCCGGATGAAATAGTGGACCAGTCATGCATAAGAACAGGTGCGATACGGCTGATTTTTGTGAAAATCGGTGACCGGGCCCGATTCCAAAAAAAAAATCAAAAAAAATGATTCATAATGGACATATTTGAGTATTTTTTGCTTATCGACTTACATAAGTTATGTACCTACAACACTAATATTATCTCAGCACTCTGCATGAAATTTTGATTTAATTTATAATTAGAGATATCGTTTACTGAACCTGAAGCCCCCGTATCACGATCATTATATTTTTGTTTGATTCTTTATTGGACAATAATGTGTGATTTATTAATTTTTATATTAAAATTTTTGATTTTTTTCATTTTTTAGATATTTGAGTATATTTATAATTTTTAATATAAATTATAAAATTGCATATAATTACCGGGTTATGCGGTTTAACCAGTGACCCACTAGTTGAAACCAGTGACCTCGTACCTTGACCAGGTCAATGACCGGGCCGATTTTAATAACATTGGTCCAACTTATTTTATAGCAACGCACAGTAAAAAAGGTTTAAGGAGTAAGAAAATGTATTCATTTTGCACACCCTGTCATCCACATGTATAAAATTGAGTGACAGCAGGTCAGGGCCCTTAAGCCTTCTCAACGGCCAATGACTAAAAGATAAGTACAAGGTTTCAACTATATCTATATGGTGTAGCTCATAAACTAACATTTTGCAAACGAAACAAACTGCAAACCGCCATTCTTAGATGGTATAAGCAGGTTATGTCATCATTATATAAAATTCAATTGGAAGGAAGATCACCTGAACAAACAACTTAGGAGCAGAAAGATGAGCTTCTCTAACAATATCCTGAATTGTTGAACATATAATTCTTCAAATTTTGTGGTCAAAATTATTAAAAGATGGAGCGAATATAATAATCTAAATAATTAAATTACATTAATTAGAAATTAATGTATAATTATAGGGTTAATTAGATGAAAAGTCTAAATTTAGAACTAAGTTACTTTTCGAGGCAAAAGTGCAAATAATAAAGTATTGAGGCAAAAGTGCAATTTATGCATATGTGAGACTTGAAATAAATTAAGTGAGATGCACCTTAGTTAAACCCAATTAGTCTTAAACCTTAGTGAATGAGACAAGTGAATGGGAGCGATGAGTGTAAAGGAAATAAGGGCAAAATTGTCTTTTCCCCTTAAAGATATTTTAAGTACCCCAATACCTCTCCTCCCTCTCACTCCTTCCTTCCTCTTCCATGGACATCACCTCCCCCTCTCTCTCTTTCATTTTCGACCAAGACCAGGGAAAGCAAGGGGCTTTCCTCTTCAAGCCTCAACCTCCATGAAACATTCCACTTACCCTAACCATCTTATCCTCTAGAAGCTAAGGAAAAATCAAAAGAAAACGACCATCTCCTTGTTGTGCAAGGGGCACCACTCTTAGTTGAGGAAGTAGGAAAGATTTTCCTCCATTGAAGCTTAAGAACCCAACTTAAACCTTGTCTTTGTGGCTTTGAGGTAAAGGTTCTTGATATACCTTAAGTGTCTTTGGTTTGTTTTCATGAAAACTCCATGACCTAGGGTTTGCCTCAATTAGGGGGGTTTTGGATTTGGGAGTTTGACGATTGGGTTATGTTTATTTGATGTAGGAGTGTTGTTGGTTGTGTTGAATTTGGATTAGAACAACCATTGAGCTATGATTGTGTGTTCTTGAGATTTAAAGAATTTGGGGTAAGTTTCTAAACCCATGATTTTGATTATATCAAATATTATGGTTGATTTCATTGTGTGTGTGTGTATTTGTTATTGATTGAAACTCATACACTTTGAATAGGTCATGGTTGTGATTGTGGAATCAATTAGCATTTTGTTGGACAAGAGGAATTTAAAAAGAAAGTCTTCAAGAGATAAACTGTTGGACCTTGGGATTAGTCTCACTTGTTGTTCCACCGTGTTCCTCTAGAGTTGTGGTAATGGTATTGGATGATTGATTGATTGTTATCTGTATGGCATAGTTACATTCATATAAAGTTATTGTTCATTAATGTATAGACCAATGAACAAGAACTACGGGCTATATTGTATAATTAGTGTAAGAAATCGCACAGTTAAATTAAAATTTTAGTAAATTAATAATAATAATTTATGACTTTAGGGAAATTATTCCATAATTAAAATAACGTAATTAGAAGAAAATAATAATTTTAATTAAATCACTTTTCAGGGAAAAGTGTAAATACAGGTGTTACATTCTATGGTATTAGAGCATTTTCGTAGGGAAATCCTTATTGTATTGCAATAACTATAATGTTTGCGAGTGATTTTATGTTTTGCTATGATAATGCATGTGTGACCACTTAATGTGAGCCTGATCAACTCATTCCTTTGTGTAACATGTGCAGAGTCATGGTACCTCCTAGGATAACTCGAGAGACGAACGAGGGTCGACCAGATCCTATCGTTGCTGCATTAGCTGAAATGCAGGCGG